CACACCCTCGTGCAACCACTTTAATTCTATCTTGGCTCCACACGTTGTTTAGACCAATACTTGGAGAAAAACAAACATTCTCTCCGGTTATATGGATGATACTATCTGCAATCAAGAGATTCTTGGAGTCCTTCCTGTTGGATTCAACCCCCTCCTGTCCTGTGAGGATGTCCTGTCAGTGTGACGGTGGAGCAACCAGGCGTGTGAGTGGGAGAGGGAAGAGCTTATTTTGCCCCACAGCCCAATGTATGGGTAGATCCCACTCAACGTTCCAGTTGAGCAAAGTCTCCGGTGATATTTCTCCAGGACTGCTTCTACCGAGGGGTCAACCCTGAGAGCCTCATCTTCGGTAACCACATAGCAAGGTAAGTCTCCTAACCCTTTGTCATGTGGGCAACAAGAACTATTTAATTAGCATTAATGTAGTTGCTGGGGTAATGTTGACTTGAATTTTCAAATTGGGGAACAAAAACCTAGTAATATATTTGGTGCCTAAAGAGCAGGGGTGGGCAACTCTGGCCCTCAAGGTCTACTCTCAAAACTTGCTGAGGAACGGGCGAAACAGACGGATTTTAGGGGAAATGCCTCGCATGTAATCCTCTAACAGCAGGGGTGGACAACTCTGGCCCTCAAGGTCCACTTTCCAGCAGAGTTTAGCTGCAATCTTAATTAAACCTGAAAAATCTAAAGCAAAGTCTTTAGGATCATTTGAAGAATTTCAGGTAGGTATGTTTAGAGTTGGAGCTAAATTCTGCAGAGGAGTTTTCCACTTTTAGAGGATTTTGTATCGGACATTTTTTTGGCCTTTCTCAGCTCAGCAAGTACTTATTTACTTGTACAATAGCTCAAGGTACACTCTTAAAAATAAAGATGCTTTAAAAGGTTCTTCACAGCAGTGCCATAGAAGAATCATTTTTGTTTCTACAAAGCACCATTCAGTCAAAGGTTCTTTAAAGAACCGTCTCTTTCTTACCTTTTTATAATCTGAAGGACCATCTTTCACCACGAAGAACCTTTTGTGAAACAGAAAGGTTCTTCAGATGTTAAAGGTTCTTTATGGAACCATTTAGACAAAAGGTTCTTCTATCTATGGCATCGTGAAGCACCTTTATTTTTAAGAGTGTAATCCTTGTAAACAGCATTTTAACAAACTCTTCTGTCTTTTCCGTCTGTAGAACATGACGTATGATCTACACAACTCCTCGTATGACTTCTACAATGGCACGCCATGGTTTGTCTACGACTGCACCATCCACCTAGACGAGGATGGCCGACGGATCGCTCTTTTCCTCCTTTACCTAGTGCTCTTCATGGTAGGGTTGGCCGAAAACACCCTGGTGGTGTGGGTGAACTGGCGAAGGCGGCATTCGGCGAATGGCGTGCTGTTCTGCGTCATCAACGTGAGCTTGTCCGACTTGATGGTGATCTTCACCATGCCCTTCTTCATGCTGGAGGTGACCATGGACAAGGTTTAGCTGTGGGGCCGCTTCCTCTGCAAGGTCACGCACCTTGTATACATCATAAACTTCTACAGTAGCTCATTCTTCCTGGCCTTCATGACCTTGGAGCGATACCTGTCCCTGACACGGCCCAACAAGCCCGCCTGCTTCCCAGCGCAGCACAAACGCCGCTGGTTTCTCTGCGCCGGGGTCTGGCTCCTGTCGCTCGTTCTGGCCTTGCTAGAAAATGTCCACGTTGACTTGTTAGAGTGGGATGAACCGGGCTGCTATATGGTTCCCGAGCAGTACTACACAGAGTGGTTTGTATCGGTTTCCTTCCTCTGTCTGATATTCCAGTTCCTGGGTCCGGCGTCCGTCATCATCACTTGCAATGTCCTGATCGCTCGTGCCGTCCGCACAACCCCGGACGTCCAGAATCGTCGGGATGTGTGGCTGGTGCATGTGTACTCGCTGGTCTTTGTGGCCTGCTGGCTACCGTACCATTTGGTTTTGTTCTTGTTGACAGTGGACGACCTGGACCCACACCTGTTCTCCTGCAACATGGTCGAGGTGCTGTACTTCTCTTTTAGCCTTGTGCAATGCTTGTCACTTTTTCACTGCATTGCCAACCCAATCCTCTACAACTTCCTCAGTAAGAGCTTCCGCAACAATCTAATAAACGCAGTGATCAGCCGCATCTCTTTACAGCCGACCAGTGCGCCAAGTAATGCTGTAACCGACAAGACAGGGACAACAGCGGTAAAAGAGCGGAAGCTCAGTAACACCAGCACGAGTCACTCCGACATTGGCGAGTGAAGAGGGAAACTCCTAAATGACGATTTGGTGAAACACAGCACGTGAATGAGCTACGAAAGAAGTGGCCTTGTTGAGGCGGATGCTTTTGGTCACTTGCCTGGTATAACTAGCCCTAATGTCTCCTGTTTTTCTCACCTCAGTATTGTTAACAGTGCAAGGAAGGAAATATTGTCAACCTTTCGTAACCTTTATTTCCACCGGTTCCTATTGTCACATCTAGGAACTCCTAGATAAGTAATAAATGCTCTGTCCACATGCCAGCGTTTGTACAAAGACTGTTTTGATTGTTCTGCTCAACAAAAACTTTCACTTAGCTCTCCATATGCTCAATCACAACACCTAGAGCTGTTTTAATGGCTTTTGAGCTCAGCAGCTTGCTTGTATATATTGTCATGGTTGTGATGTCATGAAAAAAATTGAATAAAATTTGTTTTAAAGTAGTTTAAACATGTTTGTGCAAAAGGGGCAAAATTGTGTATGCCATTTCTTTTGAGAATGTGCAGCTCCGATGTCTAAAAAAAATATTTTCCATTGTAGAAATTTGTAGAAGTTTGTTGAATCTAAATGCACTGTATTTAACATTGATAAGTGGTGGGGTTGTGTTCAAATTATGTGTTCACTGTTAAAAAGACAAGACTCCGACAAGTTTTGTAAGTACTGGTTTTATTCAGAACACAAGCACAGCTGTAGTAAAAGAGAACAGATTTCTGATAGTGACATTGAACATCAATAAATCATATAAATAACACTGAAGTGATATAAGGCAATTGTTTCTTGTTGAAAATAAAATGTAGTATGACATCTCATATTCAACATCAGAGTCGAGAGTCAAGATATTTATGGTTTATAAATCACATCAGCTGCAAACCTTGGCAAATCGCCGAATGTGCATTTTTCCCCCCTAAAAATAAAACTGATTGATTGATAAAGGTGATAAATAGTTGATAAAACCAGGCAGTTTATAAGGTCCAGCCGGTATTTTCTGTGCTACATTGCAAATAAAGCTATAACAACCACAATGTCCCAGCAGTTTTGAATACACACTTTGTGGGTTGACGACATCAATTATGAATGGAACGGTGTGCCAAATCGGTTTTGAATTGAACAAAAAATTATTTAAATGTACAATGTAAAATTGTCCCATATAAGAAAGAGCACGCATATAACTGCTGGGAAAATGGTACAGAAGAACATCATAGATTTCTAAAGAGAATTGTCATTTATTCATGACAATACCATTCGCACGAAACACTGATATGTCCCAAGTGAAGAAGGTGAACACTGACATATGAACCGACTGATATATTAGCACCTCAGTCTGAATCGCTTCTCTTTTCCGAATGAAATGAACGACATATGAAGAGTGTTGCTTTATGTACAACATCCAAACTATATTATACTGCATCTCATAAACTAGTAACTATTTCTAATTTAGTCTATGTCAATGATACACAACACTACTATAAAAATAACGGCTATTCTGTAAAAGAAAAGTACCTTCATTTATTTATTTATTTTAAAGAACCATTTTATTTATATTCTTGACCTAGAATACTGCTTTATTTATCAGAAAACGTAGAAAAAGTCTTGGTTTATTCTCAACGTGCACTTGCGTTGTGTAAGGACAAAGGTTACTTTGTGCTTCTCTAGAATAACCAGAAACCCGTAGCTTATTGTGATAGAGTTGCCGGAAGAGTATATAGAGGTAATCGCAGATCAGCAGCCCGTTAAAAATTGACTGAATTTCACACTTGACTGAATTTGTTTGCTGTGATCTTAAATCTTTTGATCCAAATGCTTATATTTAAAATGGTTGAAACTGGCTTTGAAGACCAATATAACTTGTATCTGTGCAAGAATTCTTTACAAAACAACATTTTTCTTTTAAATAAATGATAGCGACTGAAAAGCAGCCAAAAAGTGTCAACTTCATTAATAGTGTTCGTGTCTCATGACGTTCTTGGCAAAGGTTTGAAGCTACAATATTAGATGTTTTTTTTTTGTTGTTGTTGTTATTTCGTAGCTTTGATGTCTTTATTATTATTCCAAAACGAACAAAAAAAAAAAAAAAAAATGGAAACAATGAGTAGGCGTGTCCAAAGATTTGATTGTCTCTCTTGCCATCAAGTGGTCAAGTATCAGAACTACATTTTTAAAATAAAGTTTTACCTTTAGTCTTTAAAAAACAAGAACCGTTCTCATTCTGTACACAAACGACACAAAGACGATCACATTAAACACTTAATTACATTCTAAGTCTGCTTGTCCTCAACAACATACGGAGTACAGTCATGGCCAAAAGTTTTGGCAGTGACATAAATTTTGTGAGGCTTTTATTGGCAAAAAAATATAATGAGTCAATATTTACAGTGTTGACCCTTGTTCTTCATAACCTCTGCAAATCGCTCTGGCATGCTGGATATTAGCTTCTGGGCCAAATCCTGCCTGATGGCGATCCATTCTCGCCTTATTAGTTCTCGGGAGTTGATCACAATTTGTGGGCTTCTGTTAGTCCACTCGCCTTTTGAGGACTGACCACAGGTTCTCTATGGGATTGAGATCCTTTTAGAGATTACTCTTGCTTTGTGACATGGTGCTCCATCATGCTGGAAAATGCACATTTTTTTGGCCAATGAAGCTTTTAGCAATTATTTAAAATGCATCTGATCACTCTACACAATAATCTAGAAACAATGTGAATGAATTCCACAACAGCTTAAGCAGCAAACTTTGCAAAACACAAAATTTATGTCACTGCCAAAACTTTTGGCCACGACTGTAAACGTGGGCACACAGTGTGACGGAGCGTTAAGAGAGGGCGACTTTCAGGTGTCCATATTGGGGATGGGCTCTTTAGAGTGGTCATTATACATAAAGGTCTCCTCGATGTTGAAATCGGGCGGCAGCTGGTCTTTATGGAGCTCCATGTGCGAGGAAACCATCTTGAGCGTGGAGAAAAACAGGCCGCAGACGGTGCAGCGGTACATGAGGGCGCCCGAGTGCGTCTTTAGGTGGCAGATCATGGTGGAACGGCCACGGAAAAAGCGCATGCATACTTTGCACTGGTAGGGCTTCTCGCCCGTGTGGATGCGAAGGTGGTAGGTGAACTCGCCCGAGTGTGCGAAATGCTTACCGCAATACCGACAGCGATACAATTTTTCCCTTCCGCCACCAGAGTTACCGTTCAGTACGAGTCCGGCAGGAAACAAGGCGCCACCGTGAGCCATTTTGTCCTGCATGCTGAAGCCCAGGCTTAAGTTGTAACCTGCTTTACCCGAGCCGCTCGCCTCCATAGGTGAGGAGGAAGATGAGGAGTATTCGAGGAGCTGGTCCGCTTTGCGCTTGGCCGGCCATACCTGGCTGCCCTGGAGCTCGTTCGAATGCACGCTGAGATGGTAATGAAACGCGGTTTCCGAGTGGAAGGTCTGCGGACACAGGAAGCAGCGCAGCTCAGCCTGGCCTTCTCCACTGGTCTCTGGGCTGCCGTCATCCTGTTTCACCGACGCTCCTTCCTCTGTGTGTAGAGACAGGTGTCTTTCCAGCAGCGTGCTCTCCAGGAAGGGGCTGGCGCATTGTGGACAAGTGTAAATAGGAAAGAGGTGTGTCAGTGTGTGCCACAGGAGGGCGCATCGAGAGGGCTGAGACAGCTGGCACACTCCACAGCGTAATGTCCTCAAGCATGCATGGCTCTGAAGGTGGTCCCTGACAGTCTGAGGAAAAAGATCATCGGTTAGTAATATAAACAAATCAATAACATTAATTGAAATAAATTGTTAATACTGAAGTAAAAGAAATGACAATGAATTTGTATTATATCATCTTTCTACAGTATTTGGCAGTGTTGTCAGAAGAGTCATAACAAAAACACTTTTAGAATATTAAAACAATAAATATAATATTAACAATATTAAAATATCACATATAACAGTAATTTCAAAGTGAACTTACAAAAAAGTGAATTTAAGTAGTTTTCTTCCTTTACCACACAAGTTAGTTAGCAGCATGTAACCAACAGAGTTGTGGTTTTTGTTATATGAAATCATAAATAAATAATATTTAAAATATTTTTTTAAATATTTGCTTTTTTCATATTTATTGTAACATTTGATACAGCTGTTTTTATTTGTTCTAGTGCTTGTAATGTTTCTTAGTTTTTTACTACTGTTTCCTTGAAGCAATTACTTGCAACTACTGTAAAGCAATGTTGGCTTAATGTAAAATAGTAGATTTTTTTTACATTTTATTTTAATAATTAATCATATTATTAATATTTAATCAAAGTATATTTCTATATTCAAAATTCATTTCTCATATAGAGAGAGAAAGAGAGGGAGATAAATACTAGAAGAATGCAAGTCTATTTACGAACACATGTATATTTATATTTTATATAAATAAATATTATATAAATTATTAATTTATTAATAATAAAAACACTTAAAAGGTGTTTTAACAGTGTTAGTTTTGTACAGTTTTTATACCATTATTATTAGCTTTTATTTTTATATTTTCAGTTTTCATTTAAGTTTAAGTTTGTGTGATTTTGCTATGTTCTATTGTCATTTTAATTAATTAATTAATTATACTTACTTAGCCTTAATTTATCCAGTTTAGTAATCAGTTTTAACTTCAGTAAGTTGCCAAGTTTTTAAAGTTTTTCATCGAATATTTGTTATATTTTATTTTAGCTTTTTTTCAATTAACGAATAAGGCATAAACATAATATTTCCAGGTATCACGTTGCATCTGTGGCCAGTTGCATAAACTACAGTACTTAGACTAGTCTTTCAAGTTATCAAATTTTTTTCTTCAAGACTGGTCATAACTTTTTTGAATTCAGTTATATAAAATGGTATATTGGTCTAATTTGAATCTGAAAAGTAGGCTAAGACTGATCACCACTTGGTTAACTCCCAAATGACACACTATACACTATGTACTTACACACTATGTACATATGCACTGTGTACTCAACCATATAGTGTATGAATTTAATCATTAAGTAATTAATAATCGGAGTCTGATAGCCCCTCCCCCTTTGTGACAGTTGAGTGCATGAAGTTTCCCAAATTCCACACTTCGTGTTTTTTTCAGTTATTTAGGTGTATCATCGGGGTATCTAAAGTGCACTTTTTCTTTTTGGAATTTTCAGTGTGAACACACTTCTCGCACTATTTCTACTAAAAAATGTCATAGAATAGTGCATAAGTACGCGATTTGGGACGCACCTTAAGTTTATGCAACTGGCCCCTGATTAGGGTTAAGACATGTATAAGACTTATACACAAAAAACTGCTCCACTAACCTTAAAATCATTTGCCATGGATTTAGCACAGATGGTGCACTGCAGTTCCCCTCCTTGTCGTTGGGAGGCTCCGTTCAGTTGGTCTGGATTTTGAGGGGCGCACTTGGCAGCTGATTGACGCCTGTGGTGAATCAGTGCGGATTCAGTCCGAAACTGATGTTCGCAAACATCGCAGGAGAAGAGCAAGATGCCCACATGTGTGAGGGCGTGAGCGACAGCAGCAGCTCGGTCTGAGAAAGAGGTGCCACACACCTGACACAAACCCGTTTCCGAGAGGTGCGTCTCAGCATGAGTTCGTATAACAGCGTTTTCCACCAGAAGTAGCATCCCGCAGGATTTGCACGGCTGCGATGACGCCAGCTGCCTGAGAGACGCCCCGTTTTCTCCATTCTCGATGCACATCAAGTCCTCGTCGTCCTCTTCCTCCACAATGAAGTGCTCCTCCTCGTCGCTCAGCTCAATGATGTCTTCTGAAAGTCCTCGCCACTGATCGCTGCCATCCGTCTGCTCTTCCTGTAGTCGGTGCCTCTTCCTAGAATCTTTGATTGGTCCCGCAACGGCCCCCAGCTGCAAACTGTCCAAGGGGTCATTAGAGGACGACGAAGGGGCGCAGGTTTCCTCTCCAAGCTGGGCTGAAGAATCAGGGACGGAACATGGGTGCTGAGGCCCAAACGTTGATTTGCTACCATTAACAACAAGCTGGTCCACTGAGTTACTTCCTGCATCTTCTCCTTCATCCTCCTGCTCAGTCTTGAGCTGCAAAGTCAGTCCAGGAAGAGCATCTGTAGAACGGTTACTGTCCGAAGTACTTGCCTTGTTGGTCACCTGTTGATTGTAACCCAAATGTACCTGCAAGTCTTCATTTTTTGGCGACTGGTTGGCCAAGTGGAAGCGATTCAACCTGCCGTTCCTGCCTTGAGAAACCGGAGATGGAGTTACAGGAGTGGGAGCGGCTGAAGAAGACAACGAGGAGCAGGATGCTGCAGAGGACGAGCAAACAGACGCAGCCGCGGCATTGGCCGACACCAAATCGCTTTCCAAATCCCCTTCGGCAACCGCGTCTCCAGAGCTGGAGCTCTGCAGGTCAGGAAAGGTGGCATGGCAAGCGTTCAACAACTCCCTTATGCCGAGCCTTTCCGCCAACTCGTACAGCACACCCACATCGATCAAGTCTGTGAAAATCTCACCCGTGTAGATAAAAGTCAAGACCTTCTCGAAATTGGCGGCAGAGACAAAGTCCAGAGAGAAAGTGGTGGGAACGGCACCCTGGTTGCCAGAACCTCTGGAAAAGAGGCTGTTAAAGTGCCTGGAAGAGCATGCCAACACCACACGATGAGCAGGGAAGGAACGGCCTCCGACCTGGAGGATGACGTCACACAGGAGGCGAGACAGACGGCAGCGGTTGAGCTCGGAGAGGAGACGGCCCGCGTGGCCAGAGCCCTGCAGCCTGATCCGCATGCCTGGCAATTCCGACTAAAGCCAGGGTTTGGACTGAAACACAGAAGTGAATGGAAAAAAGGATGAGATTCAGATAAATTAGAATAGCAAGATGCATATTCTGTACTTTTAAATATATCTATATATATATTCTCTCTCTCTCTATATATATATATATAGAGATATATAGTCAACCAAAAATTATTCAGACACCAGATATAATTTTTGATATCTTTTTATTAGTGGGCGCAGGACACTATAATTCATTTATGTAAGTGAGGATAGCAAAATAAAGTAAACTGTGACAAATCATACCCAAAAATTCTTCGTACAGTGGACTACCAGTAAAATTGATAAAAATTTGGGATAAAAATTTTTCAGACACTTTGACCTGATCATGTTTTTTAAAGTGTTTTTCTTTAATTGCTAATGCGACCTTTTTACACCACAGACTGCAGTTTAACTCTTGAGTTCTTGTCATATTTTATTACCATTTTCTAAACTATAGCGAATAAACTGTGATAATCTGAGAAATGCTGAAGGTGTCTGAATAAATTTGGGTTTGACTGTAACTATGCCACCTCCATGCTTGAAGTCACTATGAAACAGCATTTAGTAAAGTGACAAATTTTCACATGACTTTTATCTATCAACAAATTATTAGTTTATGAAAAGTAGTCTTTATGGCTATGGCTAGTTGGAATATCATGCCAGCATACTACTCTAACTTCTGTTGCAGTATGTATTATACTATATGTGTTAAAGTATGTATATTGTATACTATATACTATATTATAATATGCATACTACACAATATTTAGATTTTCTGTATGCGTGGAATAATACATCAAAATACACACTATCAGTGTTGTTATTTTAATGAAAATCAAAACTTTAAAAAATATTACTGGTAATTGAAATTAATTAAAATATAAGCATTACATTAAAAACGTAAGCGAATAATAGAAATGTTGCCTAAATACACTAAATAATACACTACATAAAATAAAAATAAATTGAGCTATAAACAGATAAAAAACAAAACTAATAAAAAAGACAAAAGCACAAAATTAAGCCAAAACTTAAATTAATTTTTAAGATGATAAGTGCAGGACACCACTTGCTGTCTACTTGTCTCATCCCATCCAACACAATGAATGAATAATCATTCATGGTGTTGCAACAGGTCATGTAGTTGTGTGACAAATAGGTAGTGCACAACATTGTTGTCACATGACCTCATCACTTTGCAGGATTCATTTTTGAAAGGTTTAGCATGGAATAATGCAAGCAGTATGTGGTATAGAGTATATACTGCACAGAATTCAGAAGGTAGTAAAGTAGTGTTGTATTTTGAACACAACCAATAGAACAAGCGCTTGAAAAATCATCAGCCATGTTATAAAGTCGTTTTAGAGTTAGAGCAAGTCATTACATTTTGATGAAAGATTATGAAGACAAACATAGTTTGGAATAAAGTGCAAACAAATATCTTGTACCTTCCTTAAAATCACCATACTTACAAAAACCGTAATGCATTTTCACTATAAGACATTACACTTACTTTAAAGGGGTCATATGATGCTGCTAAAAAGAACATTATTTTGTGTATTTGGTGTAATGAAATGTGTTTATGCGGTTTAACCAAACAAAGTAGTTTCGCTTTCACTACGAAGCACACAGCGTCTTCAGTACATGGCTGCAGCGTCAACAATACTACAGCGAGAATAAAAGTTAGGGCCTTCTTTCTTTGGGCAGCGTTATGCAAATCTTCCCACATCATGACGTAGGTATGTGGGGGCGTGTTAGAACGAGCCGTTTTTGGTAGGTGTGGTTAACTCTTAACTTTTATAAAGAATATCTCTTTGGTTTTGAGACTTTAGTGTTTGCAACTTTACAGATCTTCTTTATGCACCAAGAGCTTGTAACACTCCAAAGAGAAAGGAAAAATTGAAATCGCATCATATGACCCCCTTTAACTAAGTTTACATTCATAAGCAGATAGTTTCAACACAGCAAGGTCAGAACAGTCTCAGATATGTTATATACACAAATACATTAACGTTACACCATTCATAAATACGCAAGTGCAGAAACACAATTCACGCGTAAATAATACGTGAATACATCGCTTCACAAAACAACGGGTGTCCTAACAAAGACAGTCCAAATCAGTCCACACAAAAAGGCTTTTTGGATTAACACAATATTTGCTACTCCTTTGTAGACAATATATATTTAAGCATGTGCAGCACATAATCTAGTGGGCAATGAAACTGTTCAGTTCATCCTAGTTTATTTAGCGTATCATTAGTTTAGCCGTAGCTAACCGGTTGCCATTGGATTCCATTAGCATGTGGGGCTAACTCGCACTTTAGGATAATCTCTCGCAGTGAAAATTAATCAGACAGATGAGCTACTAACTAGCACACAGAAACCGCATAACAACTCAAATGTTTCCTTACCCATAGAGTGCTGTTAGTTAGCGACAGACAAATAATCTCACTCGGTTCCTGTTAGCCCAGACAGTCGTCCCTGCATAGACACGGACGGTGTCTCAAAACCTAGTTAGCTGACTACCTAGATCACTTGGTTGGTTCAGAACGCGTATGTAATGCTCAAAAATGCTGTCGAGGGATCGAGGCTAAAGAGCTCGATATGTTTTTAAGACACGGCCATTGTGTCATATACTAAAACAAACTGAACACCGAGCACTGAGAGATTGAAATTCATGTAATCCTATTATTACTACTGTGAAAAACCTACACATTAACTCAGGAATGGTTGTTTGTGTATGGAATGCTAGATTAAGTCAAGCAGTTATTAAATCTAGTTAGTTTTATGATCATATTTTAATAATATGATGAAGGTAGATTTTAACCAATATCTATATCCCAATAATAATCAATAACATTACTGGATATTCCAAAAATTGCTTGAATACTTTTTTTTTTTTTTTTGGCAAATTCTGTCAAATCTGTACAATCAATCTTTTTTTTTTTTTTTTTGGCAAATTCTGTCAAATCTGTACAATCACACTCTTTGTGAACGAATAGCCTACTGTTTTTTAATAAAATTAAAAAAATGTTTCACTGATTCTTGAGACATAGGTCAAAACTTGTCCAGCAATTGTAACTGCTATTAGGTTTAAACATATTTTTCAATTGTAAATGTTATAGGGGGTTAATAATAGAATGTGTTTAACACAATTATTCCCTTAAATTTAATTTGATCATTATTATATCAAATCTATGGCACTTTCATTATTACATTCATTAAAATGTAATAAAATCAGGGGCAGCAAGGAAGATCTTGTGCCACATTCCACCTCTGCAAAGTACATGTCAGACAGGCTCTGGTAAGTTTTATAGATTTAGAATATTTTAAATGCTAATGTTAATATTTCCTGTGTAACAACCATGATATGTCAACACCATCTTCCAATTTCTGAGGAAATTATTTGAAATGTTTAGATCAATTTATTCTCCTGAAGCAGGTTCTATTAGCATCTAGCATCAACAGAGAAAACAAAATGGCTACTACATGAACTCAATTTGTTTTATGAATGAAATGCCAAATTTGTCAACACCGTCAGATGTCACCACCATAAGATTTTCTGTCTGACGGTGGTGACGGGCCAATGACGGAGTTGACATTCAACATGAAGTCATCATATTTTTGTGGTTTTCAAGTCATTTTTAATTATATTAAATATAAAATAGTGTTCATTTTTTTCTAATAATTTATAAATACTAAATATGTGACCTGACAGCATATATTGCTTTTGTGGATTTTTAGTTATCACTTCTAGTAGAGTTAGGGGTGGAGGGAAAATAAGATTCAGGGAACATAAAGCTGAGAGAACATATAACACTGGATAAAACATGTCTATACATAATACAGTTCGTTTGTATTCTGATCATGTGTTCTGATAATTTTTGGATCATTTGTTAAGATGTTTAAATGTGAATGTTAAGATCCTGGTGAATGTAAATGGATAGAGGTAACAACTAATTGTTTTATTTATTCATATAACTGTTTTTAAAAGTTACCATAGCAGATGCACAGCAGACATACTGTTCTGAGATGAGAGAAAATAGATCATTTGTGTTCCAATGATATATCAAAATACTTAGATGTGAATCTTGAATAAAAGCTTTGTAAACAATAACATACTCACTGTTTGTTGTATTTGTTTTAATACAGTAATTGATTGATTCAATGTATTTGATCATTAAAATGACTACAAATTCAGGCTTTTGTCACCACCAACAGATGTATCAACTCTTTCAGGTCTGTAACCTCCGTCAGATGAATATTTTGATAATATTTCATTATGATATTTTATATTTGTTGAGGAATTGTTGGTCACATGTGAAAGTGTAATCTGTCTGCTAACATGAG